AGGCTGGTTCTTGGCCAAAATGCAGTATTCTGCTGCAAAACGTCTTAGCATCACGCCACGTGAGTGCTTGGGATGGCTCACCCATGGGGCACCACTGGGCTGAGCCATTCTCATCACCACCATTTCTCATCAACATTATACTCAACCTGTCACTGAAACCATTTTTTTATTTTTAAATCTGACACCCATGTATCAGGACCCTCCCCCTTATCTGCTGACTGTCTATCACCACACCTAAGCTGATCTGCCCAGACACCTCTGCCTCCTCAAGCATAACTATGATCACTGTACCACCTAAAGACTTACCTTCCCACGTGCACTCGCAACACTTTCAGGGTTGTGTCAGCCTCAGAAGCATGAGCAGAGAAAGGGCTGGGCCAAGTATTAAGGAGCAATAGTCCTAAACCCCTTCTAATATATTGCAGCTCCTGCTGATTGGCATCCCCAGGCTAACCTAGCCCCAGGGGAAGCTGGCCAGCCCCGACCTGGGCCCTCCTCAAGCAGGACTTGAGCCAGGCTGCTGTTGTGCTACTAAGAGGCTCTTACATCAATGGGGGATACAAGCAGGGTCAGAGTAAGTTGTTCTCCACTGCCCAGTGGAGCTTGCTCCTTCTTGCTGCTTCCTCCTCCCGATGGCCAGCACAGGAGCTGGCAGAGCTGCCCTGTCTGCAATGAATACGTCCCTAAATCATCAGCAGAGATAACACTGGCATCTTAGGAGCAAGGCAAGGTCCTGCACATAAATACAGAGCCCTAAGTCTGCCCTGAGCCTGGCAGGAGCTCCTGAGCCCATGGAATATGTTTCCAGACCTTCAGCTATGAAGACATTTGCCCTTCAAAGTGGCCTTGGACTACTGGAACTGATCTGCTGCAGATGCTCTTCTCGCATTGCACTGGGACACCCTGTCCAGTGCCACTACCCTCAAAAACCCCTCCACAGGGTCATTTTTGCACCTACTTGAAACCTGCCTGCAGACGGGAGGCGACCAACCCCTCTTTGCACCCATTGCTGACCTCTCAGCCTTCTACAGGCTCTGGAAGAGTCCTGAGAGTTGCTGCTGTGGAGATCAGGCAGCCTGTGTGACAGCCCACTGGCAACAATGGAACAGGAAAAAAAAATCAACCCCCTAAACTTCCTATACCTTAAAACTGAACAGATAAAAACTCCAGCAACAGCCAGAACATGTACTGCATGTTGAAAGCTAAAGATGTCTGACCACTGCTGAAAAAAGAAAATCCAGTTTCCTCAGACTACTCAGTTCCCTACTGGTTTGGTGCTGAAAAGTACAGCAGAAAAGGCAGAAAATATTCTTTAATCCTGTTCATCTTTCTCTGTGGCCAGAAGGATACAAATGATAACCCAACCACATCTCACTGGACACGTTACATTGCTTCTTCTCTGTCTTCTCTTGTGGTGTCCTTTCTGCCCTTTTCAACAATTTTAAGTTTCTGCAAGTACTTTACAGCTAATGCTTTCATACCACTTTCATTGTTTCCACAGACTCTGGGCAATGGCTGGGTTGTATGTCTTGCTTTGGACAGAATTCTTTCAGTTATCTCCCAGGCTTATGAATTAAAGGATTGGTTGCTTTAGCCCATTCATTTAATCATTAGCCCATTAATTAACCCTTGCATGGGCTTTGCTACTTTTACATTGCTCTTCCCTATTCCCATTCAGACTTGGCCTGTTCTCCCGTTTCACCACCTCAGCCCCAAACCACGTGTCACTCCCTCTGTCCTTGGCAGAAGCGCACATTTAAACCAGGCCTGAAGAAACCTCCTATCCAAAATTAAAGTTGTGGGATGTGTCATTTGAGAGTGGTCCATCACTCTACCAGAAACCAGAGCATGTTGCCTTCTCTGAGAGGGGAACCATCGGCCTTCAGGAGCCCAGGGGCAGGACAGGAGTCAGCCGTGGGCTCTCTAATGACAAATCCCTTTCCACGCTACTAGCACCCTCCCTGTGCATGTCCCAGCTGGCTGTGTGTACCCAGTGCCCTGGTGCTCCCCAGGCAGGTGAAGCAGCAATTGTATCGTAACACTTCAACAAGTCCGGTGGCAACAAGCAGCTGGCAGTGACCTATGAAATGATGACACTGGTGCTCAAGTGGTGGAGCTGGAAGCTGAGCCCTCCCTGTTGTTGTCAGCACCATGAGGTGCCTTTTCCCTTCTCCATTCCTCCTTTCCATCCTTCCCTTCCATCCCTCCCTGGAAAGCCTGCTTTTATGGCTTTCCAAAGTCAATACAGATACACGCACCTCACCCCACACCTCATGTTTTGAATCTTCCACTGGATGCTGACCTCTGAACAACCCCTCCGTCCTCCCTTACCACCAGCACTGCTGCTGCAACTGGTGGGAGCCCAGCCTGCTGGGGAAGGGCCAATCCCCACTCCTCCAGAGGGAGGCAGCTGACACTCAGCTGAGTTCTTCCAGCCCATGGTGAGACCTCCTGTGGGGCTCAGGGGTTGTCCCCCCATTCCTAGCCTAGACTCACTGCTGTGCTGCATCCAACCCCACGTAACCTGTTGCAGCACGGGCTCTGCCCTGGGTGCAGTGCAGAAGCTGCTCTCCCTGTCATGCCATGTTCCTCAGCTTTGCATGTAGCTCCTGGCACCAGAAAGGAAAACTGTCACGTTCCTCCCTCCAGTTACCAAATATGTCCCCCTCTCCTCCCTTTTTGGAGGAATGCCATTATTTTCTTGGAACAAGGCTGTCCTGGGGCTTGGTGGGCTCCATGCCCACATTGCTGCCTTGCTAGCAGCCACCTTCTCCTTGGCACCCTGGGCCTTCCTCTACGGGGCCCTTCAGGTAGCAGCTCTGCCAAGCTTGTTTGAACTTGAACTTGAGCTTGAACTTGCCTGGGCATCACCTGCATCCCTCCTTCCTCTCCTGTCAACACCAACACAATAGGAAGAGTCAATACTGGTTACCTTTGACCTTACCCAGAGGTAAATCATCACCTCCATCAGCCTTCACCCCATGCTGCATCCACTGCTCATCTCCCAGCTGGAGTGCTTCCTCTGGTTCTCACACACCAGCTAAAGCAGCCATGGAAGATGGAGCTGCCCTACCACCCTTATCTGTTGGCCACATCTCAGCCGTTGAATCATTGGACCATGACTCTCCGCTATGGATCCAGACAAAATAGCTCTGACCTAGGGAAGCCAAGGCTTAGAAGTCCTCTTCACCAAATAACATTTTCACTTGACCCTCTTCCTAGGATCAGGGCAGCAACCCAAGGATGAGCACCCTCCTCCCTATCATCTCAGTTGAATCCTTGCCTTTTCCATTCTCCTAATCAATAAATGTATTTGTGGCCAGGACACGACCAGCTGTGGAGTCCCCAAGCCTTGCCCACATTTGTTCCAAGAATCTGCTGTACTATGCTGAACTGAGCCAAGCTGCTTTCATTTGAACAAAGCAACATCATTGCAATACTACTTTGAAAGCCCTTCTTTCAACTAGAAGGGCACAGACTTAGGATGCTTTGTCTTTAGGATCAACAAGTTATCTGCAATATAAACTCAGGAAGTGTGGGGAATCTTCTGTCACTACATACTTATCACTTCCTAGCCACCTTTCTTTAAGTACTTCTTACTTGTGAAGCTACCAACATCACTGCTTCTAAAATGTGATCATTGGTATGACTTCATTTCTCTGTTTCCAAGTTATGTACCTGAAGGAAAGGTTAAAAATCAAATGCTCTGTTTAATATACTTAAGGAAAGAACTTAAACTAAGATCAGAAACACACGACTATCCCTTCTTCCCACCCATGGGATTCCTTTGTTGTCAAGCTCCTCCAGAACAGTTCTCAGATCCACAGTTCAGCAGCAAATGTTGTTACTTGTTTCTAATTCCTTCTTATCTTTAGTTCAACATTTAAATATTTTCTTTAAGCACCCATTTGTATCTCGGGTTTTATCCATTCCCTAATAATGTCTTTTTTTTTTTATTAGTCTCTACATTTCAAAAATTATGGCAATAGATGTCACATTTTCGCTCATTTTCATCCTTTCACACTTTGATCTGCCTGCTACAATAAGCAGTAGCAGGTTTAGTAGCCACAAGCAAATCAGAGTGACTTCCAGCATGGCTCAGCTGTGGAGCTGAAGGGTCCCAAGACAGAGGTTCCTTGGAAAGCCAGTTAGACCCCTCCATTCAGCTCAGGACTCTCACCTCCCCCCGCCCCGCCCAACTGCCCACGCTTGGAAATACCCAGAGATGACAAATGTTTTGCTTGCATCATGTGCTTTGTAATTTAAGAAGCACGAGTGCTTCACAATAACTACAACTGATAAAATATTAACTTGTGGTCTTTTTTTTTTTTTTAATAAAATGAAACAAAAGCATTCTAAATCATAATAGCTTATAGATCAAAACTGTCCATCGGTTAGGAGCATAGTGTAATTAAGAAGTATGAAAATGCAAAAATATTAAAGCCCTGCAGCAGTTCAAATTCATGACAAAACCCTTGTGCAGAGCAGGAGCAATACTGCCTGATGCTCTGCAAATTTGGTATACTTGTTCTTGGGCAAAATAGGGGTTTTCTTCTCTGGTAATGGCATATCCTCTTTTCCAAAGGGGAGAAAAGGTACAAAGCCCTTTTGATGAGCACACAGTCGCTCTTTCCTTAGCTAGCAGTATTCATTTACAGCACTGAGAAATGAGGACTTTCTGTTTACCATTAGCTGAGGTAAGTGATCTTGCTTTTATTTCGGTTTAAGACTACTGTAAAGGAGTAGCTTTTCAGTTGCAGCATGGTTTGTCAAGATTACAATATTTATGACTGCATAAAATACATTAGTAAAAAAACCTATGTTTTGTAGAGTTTGTTTTCAAGAGCTGAGACTTACATCTTTACAGAACTCCAAATACTGGCTTCCTAACTGCTAGTTGATAATTTTGCTGGCAAGAGCATTTGTTACCCTTTTCTTTAATCTCTATACCCTTTTGACCAACTGTTAACAAGAACTAGCAAGAAAGTAATTTATAGCTATGGTTAAACTGTTGTAACAGCATCAGACAAGCTGTACTGATTCTTCATTAAAACACCCTTCGTTTGAAGCTAGAAAGTACCAGCCGATGCTTCTTGCTCAAAACAAACTACTCACATGCTCTGTGCCTTTAACACTTCACACCCATTACAGAAAATTTAACAATGCAATCACTAACATACCTCACTAATGAGAAATTATGAGAAATTGTTTGATGCAGAACCTTCTGCATCAGTCAACTCTGATCAACAAGAAAGCTATCAATTTTGAAATTTAGATTTAATGCATTTTCAAGAAGCTAATGAGAAAGGAGCAACTTAAAATAAATACCATCATTAAAACTGCAAACTGTTACAATGATATATTATAAACTTCTCCTAAATAAACCTAGTGCTTCAAAAATTTACCAGTGAATTCGTATTACAAAATATGTGAAAATACAATAGAATACCACAAAACAACGTCCTTTTCTGGGGTCAACAATGACACCAAGATGATTCAGTCTTTTAACTTTTTAAATTGTTAATAGAACATATTGTAATATATAAGTTGCAATTTGGTTGAATTCTAGAGAACATCCCCACCCAAACTCAAATTCACCTTTTTCATTCCTCTCCTAAAACTCGTGCCAAACTTCCTGTCAAAACCATTATTTTCTTGAAGAGCTTTAAAGTTTAGCTGTTACTTATTTTCTACTACTACATTTTGGCAGCAACTATTTATTGGTCTGTTATTGCAAAAAGTGCAATTTAACAATAAACCAGTCTGAAGGTCATTCTATGTCTTGAGGATACATACCATATATTTCTTTAAAAATAATCATACTTTTGTAAGCAATACTTTACAGTAGACACCTCAAATCTACCATAGATGTAAAACTTAAAACGAGAAAAATTTAGTCTCTAAATCTTTATACACATATTTATATTCAAGTTTCTATATATATTATATATATACACAAGCACAAGAGTATATATAAAATATATATAATCAGATTCAAAAAAGAACAAAAACTGGGCACTGTACATAAAATCTTTTTAAAACTCAAACAATAGAAAAACTTTAAACATTAAACAATTTTAATAAAAGTTTCTGTACAATGCTAAGCAGTTTTATTTACATATAGAAAATGTAATAGGAGTAGTGTTTGAAATTACAGAACTCCTTAAAATTTCAATGGCAGGTAATCTGGAAAAAATAACAGCATTCCATTCACAAATATTTTCAAGCAATAAATATGTATTTATAAATAGTGTAAATTTACATCAAGATTAGAAACAAAAATCACAAATCTGAAGTTTATTCCTTAGTCTATGTGCAACCCATTTATCTTTGTGACTTGGCTGTTAATTGTTTTAAATTTTATTTAGGAACCAAAAGTGTAACCGTCATGGTTTCAAAACAAGACAGAAAAACATAAAAGCAGTAAAAAATTTATATCACCTAACTCTTCACATTAAAAAAAAAAAAAAGTTGCTCAAAGAAAGACTTAAAATTTCTAACTACCTTACAAAGAAATGACCAGCTAAGCTAGTACTTTTTCCGAGGGAAATTCTGAAGGGGAAAAATGGATGAAACCAACTCATCAGCCCAGAAACAGAGAGATACAAAAGAGGTGGTCTTCAAGTCAGTAGTCTGTATAATGTTGCCAGTTTTGTCAGATATATACAAAACATGGAATTATTTTTTTTGAAGTACAGCTGGATGAGCTTTATTTGTTTTGAGTTCTGGAGTAGGAGGCAGTGCTCTCTCCTGTCCAGTTGGTTGACACTCCGCACTTGGAAGGTTGCATAGACACAGCTTTCAGCCAGCAGCCTTACGGGATAGCTACAAAAATCAGTGGTGCAGAACTGGGTCACTTCCTGAATATCAGAAAAGTTTTCATTTAATGTCCATGAAAAAATGTCAAGATGAGGAGGATGGCAATGGAGGAGCCTGAAAAAGAAAACATTAAATTACCTTTTCTACAAGGGTGTAGAACTCAGCTGTTTAACCAAGACCTGCACAAATTGTAACCATGAGAGCTGAAAGTTACACACGCTACTGTTTTCACACTTCAGGACTCTTTCATCGAGTGGGCACTGGCATTTTGTCCCAACTTACTCAAATGCAGTGTTTGTTTTATGACTACTCTGTATTAGGATTTTGCCTACAATGCAGACTGGAGCATGCTGCGGCGATGTCTGTTAATATGTTGTGAGCTGCCCAAACAAGTCCTGTTGTGGCAGCAAAGAGCTCCATGTGGGCTCACTACAGGTATCCCCTTTACACACTCTAAAACAGGGATTCTCAACCTGTTTATCAAGGTGGAGGTAGGGGGCTGTCCATGTGTGGCTCTCCACATGACTTGCAGGCTTCATTATTTCTCCCTTCTACTTGAACAATAACATATAACCCTAAAATTAGGATTTTTTTTTTTTTTTTTTTTTTTTTTTAAATCCTGATAGACACCACCAGAGTGGGAGCAAAGTAAGCTAGATGTCTTGTTCCTGCCTGCTCTCAGGAGACAAGGTCTAGAAGATACCAAACTATATCCCAATATTGCACTTTCTGGCATTACCATCAAAATACTAAATCTTTGATGGCATTTCCTTCTCCTCCTCTTCTTCTCATCAGTCCTGCCATGATGTGGAATCCTTTCAAGAAACTGCTCACAGTCTTTAAAGACACTTTAAATCACACCATAGGACCCACCTATGGAACACTAGCACTAGCTGATCCCCGTGTTTGCTCCCAGTGCTCTGCCCCAAACACAGAGCTTCTGTTAGGCCTATTGCACATTTGCCATCTGAGATTATCTTCGTCTTATGACTTGTCACAAACCTCAACTCTTCTCCTAGATCTGAGAGATGTCACTTTCAGGCTATGACTCTTCTCAATCAAGAACGCATCCCCTTTAAAACAAATTCATCTGCACACCAGTTCTCAAAAGAACAATAACCAATGCCCTTTAGGGCCGCAGGTATAGGCTTTGGTGGTGGAGGGAGCTACTCACAGGTTGAGAACCCTTGTTCTAGGGACGTATCATCACTGTTACCTGTATATAGTTACAGACAGACAAGAAGGGACCACTCCCTCCCCCCTCTTTTTCCATACAAAAATGTTCCTGCCCGTTTCCACTCAACTGGATGATGCATCTGAGAACAGGCGTTTATTTATATTCTTTTCTATAACAGATCATCACTTTGAAATTGAATTGAAGTATTCCACAAACTATAATGACAACGGGCTCCTACAAGCATGAACTGAAGTTGAACCACCTCAGGCTCTGTAGGACCAACAAAGAGAATTAAATTCAGAGGACATGGTCCTGCACTCT